GCTGTGAGGGAATCCCCACATATATACTAACATTATTTATGAATTCGCTATTGGTCACGATTAAATTAAAAAAAGTTATTAAATCATTAAATAATAATGTCATTTATTAATAATTGAACTTATTATAAAAATTAGTTAAAAATGATCTCAAATATGCTATGAGCAGTTTTTCCAGGGTTTTGGGAGAGGAAAGAATTCTGTAAGTAAGGGTCAAGCAGTATTTAATAAGGTTCTAGGAACATCTGCTTTCCCCCTTTTACGATCTAAATTTGTCGCTAACCAGGGGTTTGCAGGAGGTAATCAGAGTTAACTTGCAATGCAAATAAACCCTGTTTTCATCCTATTACATCCTTAAAAATCCTCAGTTTTAAGGCAGGTCTAAAAGTTCGACTCGGGGGGTTAAAATAAGTGAAACTTCAGTGTACTTTCTGTAACAGAAAAGACCATATTTTATTCCCTAGGTTAAAAATAGACAATTTTACACCTCAGAATTAGGAAAAAGCACTATGCTCCTTTAATAAAAAACTCGTGACGTAATTTACGTACAAAATTTTAGCAAACTCTATCTAAACATATGTATAACAAGTTGTTCATTTCATGACCATTTAGCTTCCTCAATATATCAATCGATTCGTTTTCTTGTCAGGAATGTAATTTTGAGAATAATTAATTGTTTTTCAGGATCACAGAAACATATTACATATTTTTTTTGCACTTTGTCCTTTCGTCAAAAATGATTCTTTTTGTGTATGTATTAGATAGGTAAAATTTTGAAAATAATTCTATTTCATTATTATTCATCATAAAACTTAAAAATTGATAAAATTAACATTCACAGTGATAAATGTTGATAAATATGGCGTATAAACACATTTTCATAAAAAATCAAAAGTGACCACCTTGTGGCCAAAAAAGTGTCCACCTTAGGGCCAAGACACAAGTTTTTAAACGTTAATGAAAAAATTTTTTAAAGCACAATATTAATTATATTCATTTGGAATATTATTGTACGATATATAAAGATAATTATAACGATTTTTACTAATTTAAAATGGTTAATTTCGATGATTTTAACACCCTGAAAAAAAATTTCTCGATCATTTAAAAACAGAAATTTTACGACGTTCACGTTACAAAGAGACTCATACGACTATTTACCTCAAAACTTTACTAAAATCTTTGTCTTCTTAAATAATAACAATAACAAAAAACATTTGAAGATACTAACTAATATACAAAAATTTTCTAAGGGTGACCACCTTAGGGTCCTGACCACCTTGGGGCCCTCTCCCCTATAAAAAAAAATTTTGTAGACATTTTTGAAAATCCTTGTGTCAGATTTTAGGTATTAATGACTGCAATAAACCTGCAAAATTTCAGGACAATCCATCAAAATTTGTCTGAGATAATTTTTACACAATTTTTGTGACATACACACACACATACACACACATGCATCTGGACATTTGCTCATAATTGAATATACATATGTTCTAGATAAAAATGAGTCCATATAACCTTCTTTTGAAAAATTGAATATCATCACCAATGCAAAGCTTCCTCATGAGGAAGCAAAATTAAATTTATCCCATAGAATCGGTAACATAGAATCGGTGAAATTTACACTTTCATATGCCAATTGCTTCTTTTTTATGATAGAATAATCATTTCAAAATATTAATATTAATATTAAATAAATTATGAAAAAAATACAAAATTTGAATTTTTTGTGAAAAAGAAAGCACAGGACAATTTTTTAACTTTAAAAGAAGTACCTCAAGCAGATTCTAATAGTCTCTATTCTGAAATAGTCGGATTTTTCAACAAAAACAATATACCTTATAAAAAAAACTTATTGGGATTTGGTGCAGATGGTGCATCAGTGATGATGGGAAAACACCATTCTGTTTCCGTTTTACTCAAAAAAGATGTTCCTACATTGTTCATTTTGAAATGTATATGCCACTCTTTTGCATTGTGTGCATCTAGCGCTTGTAAACAACTTCCCAATGAGGTTGAAGCTTTGATTCGTCAAGTTTACACGTACATGCACAGAAGTTTCAAAAGGTTATCTGAATTCAGGAAATTCCACAAATTTCTGGATTTAAAACCTCACAAAATGCTTCATCCTTGCCAAACACGGTGGCTGTCTTTGGGGATCGCTGTTGAACGGGTCAGGGAACAATATTCTGCACTCAAACTGTACTTTACTTCGGAACATTTGAACAAGGACTGCGATGACAAACCAGGTGCTACTGCAACTCATATTTTACTAGAAAATCCAATCAATATGTATGATCGTATGATTTCGAAGATAAACGAATATTGACGAAGGAAACGACATGTTTCTAGAAACGTTTATTTTGTAATTAAATTCAGTACTCGACACTCGGGTGAATGACTAACATCAATTATTGTATTTAATTTTGTATTATTTATTTGAGTTATTTTCTTCATTTTTCTCAATTTTATTATAAATTATTATTGGAGTGCTTTTATTGAGAACTGTGTATTTTTTTAAAGACCTATTAAATAAAGAGTTTGTTAAGTGTTAAATAATTTGTGTTCATTTTTATTTATTCTCAGCCGCGCAATAAACTATTATTATAAAACTAATTTTGCGTTGAACATTTGGTCCTTCGAGCCGGATCATTCACATAAACTAAGTTAAAAAGTGTCGAGTGCTCAAATTGGTTCAGTTCTTTAATATTTTAAAGAATTGAAATTGACTGTGAAAAAAGGTGTTCTTTGTGAAAGTGAACAAAATCGAACTAATTTATTTGAGAGTCCTATTCGGACGTATATATTTGGAATTTGACTGCATCTGGAGGTTGCTGCTGAGGTCTTATCTTCGAGAGAAATAGGAAAATCATCATTCTGATCGTCTGAAAATTCGAACCCATCGATACTAGGCCATTGTACATTCATTGGAAAGCGTTGCGAATTTTGTAAGTCGATTGTCTACACAGTGACTCATCAATACGTAAGCTGTTTATTCTATAAGTATCTATTGTTCAAAAATAAATAATTAAACTTGTAAACATCTAAATCGCGCAAATTATAATTTTATTTGACTTATTCGAATTATTATAAATTGTGAAATATTATGGAGAGAAGCGAACTTGATGAAGCTCGACAAAATAGAACAAATTGCAAATCTAAATTAACAAAATTTAAATCATTGTTAGAAAAATGTTTTGTTGACAATGAAATTACTGTCGAGGAAATTCAAATTCGCTTGTCAAAAATAGAATCAATGTGGGGGGAGTATGATAAAGCACAATTAACGTTAGAATTATTGGCTCCTGGACCGAATCGCGATGATGAGAGAACAGAATTTGAGAACAATTATTTTAAATATGTAGCTGTTGCAACTAAATTGTTAAAAGAACGATCTCCCACTTTTACTCATGATCGCGCCTTGTCCGTGGAGAATAACGAATTACAGCAATATCGTGATAAAGTAGCCGAACTGGAATCCGAAATTAGAACTCGGCAAGAATCGGAAATTGCTCACTTGAGAGAATTATCAAACTCACCTAAAGTACAAAAATTTCGATATTTGAAATCTTATTTAAAAGAAAATGCAGCTCGGGTTGTTGAAAATATTGAAATTTCCGAGGATAGTTATGACGAGGCATGGAAATTATTAGAAGATCGATACAATAATAAACAGATAATAATATAAAGTCATATGACATCATTATTTGAATTAATTGGTCCAACTAAAGAATCGCCTTCGTGTATACGTAACTTACTCAATACAATTTTGAGATATATCCGAGCTTTAAAGGTTTTAGGTCAGCCAGTGGGATCTTGGGATACTCCCTTGCTTTGCCTCATTTCTTCCAAATTAGATAAGGACACTAGGAGAGAGTGGGAACGGTCAATTAAGGGGTCTGAAATGCCATTATTTAAAGATTTGACTCAATTTCTGCAAGATAAATGTCAAGTTCTGGAATCAATGAATCCTGTTACCAGTGACCAAAATAAAAATATTAAAGTAAACAAAAATCAATTAACTTCTGATAAAAAAATAATTAGTAAATCTTTTTTAAATAATCAAATAAATACTACTTGCATTCTTTGTTCTGAAAATCATTTTATACAAAAATGTCCGGAATTTGTAAAAAAGGCCACTGGTGAAAGGTTTCATTTTGTGAAACAAAAGGGTCTATGTTTTAATTGTTTAAAAGGGAATCACCTGATTGGTAATTGTAAATCCAGAAATTGTAGCACATGCGGAAGACGTCATCACACATTGTTGCATATGGAACCAAAGAGCGTAGTAAATTCGAATACAGAAATTGAGAATTGTGGTGTAGGTCAGGGAAAGAATTTGCACGTGGTTGACTCATCGAATGTTTTGTTATCCACAGCTGTTGTATATATACTTGATAGATATGGTAAACGCGTGAATTGTAGAATCATTCTAGACAACGGGTCTCAACCAAATATTATGACAGAAGAATTTGTAAAAAAATTAAATTTAAAAAGACAATTAAAATCTGCGATAGAAGTATTAAACGGTAATGAAGTCAACGGTAGCAGTTGGGTTGAAGCAAAATTAGAATCAAAGATCGGTAGTTATTCCGCGACAACTTCTTTTCTCGTATTGCCAACAATAACAAGTCGAGTTCCATCAATGCCATTTGAAAAAAGAAAATTAAATATTCCTTCTCACATTATGCTCGCTGACCCTGAGTTTCATAGGCCGGCTGCTATTGATGCACTTGTAGGGGCAGAACTATTTTATGAAATTTTAGAAAGTGGTAAAATAGCACTCACTGTCCCAAATACTTCTTTACAAAATTCGAAAATAGGCTGGATAGTTACAGGAAAATTATTTAGTGGTCCAGATCAACAAAAATTAAAATGTAATCTTGTCAAGAATTCTTTATCATCACAGCTTGAGGAATTTTGGAAGATTGAAGAGATTTAATGAAAAGAAGGACAATCTTGAAAATTCTTATGAAATTGCACAACGTAGGTTTTTTATTATGGAAAGAAAGTTGTCAAAAAATCCAGAATTGAAGGAAGATTATAAGAAATTTATGCAACAATACGAAAAATTAGATCACATGGAGCCATCGACCAGCAAGCCAACTGAAGGTTATTATTTTCCTCATCACGCCGTTCTAAAAAATACGATTTTGGGTATGATTTTGAGAGTGGTATTCGACGGATCATGCGCAACAAAAACAGGCATTTCACTTAACGAAGCATTGATGATAGGGCCTACCATTCAAGTGGGAGTATTTACATTGCTGATACGATTTCGTCAATATCCGATTGCCTTAACAGCGGACATCGAGAAGATGTATAGGCAATTCCTTATACATCCAGAAGATCGCAAGTCCAAAAAAATACTCTGGCGAGATGATGAAAGTATGCCTGTTAAAACTACCAACTCAAAACCATCACTTATGGGACTTCTGCCGCACCATTCCTAGCAATACGTTGTCTCAAGCAACTGGCGGAGGATGAGAGGAATCGGTATCCAAGGGCTGCCGAGGTTCTGGAGAATGATTTCTACGTTGACGACTTGATCACCGGAGCTGAAACAGACGAAGAATGCAAGGGATTGAAGGATGAACTCACTGAATTGACTAGGCGAGCTGGACTGAATCTCTGCAAATGGCGATCAAATAGCTTAGAGATAACACAGGATCCACAAAATGGGAATACATTGCTTGAATTGGACTCTCAGGTTTCAAAGACGTTGGGAATTGTGTGGGATTCCGGGCATGATTTGTTATTATTTAATGTTAAAAGATGATGACAAACAAATTGTTACGACGAAAAAAATCATGCTATCACAGATTGCAAAGTTGTACGATCCTTGTGGGTTGATCGCTCCAGTTGTAGTATTTGCAAAAATACTCATGCAGGATTTGTGGAAAGAAAAGTCATCTTGGGACGATCCAGTTCCACTACATATCTTGAAATTATTCGAACAATTTAGGAGTCAACTGTCAATCATAAATAATTGGAGAATATCAAGGTCATTTAGAGAAGAATCAATGAAAGTCGTTCAATTGCATGGTTTCGCGGATGCAAGCGAGAAAGCTTATGGTGCATGCATCTACATCAGAGCTTCGAATGGAGAAAAATACAAAGTTACATTATTATGCGCAAAATCCAGAGTAGCCCCTGTGAAAACTGTAACTTTGATAAGACTCGAACTCTGTGCAGCACTCTTGCTTGCAAAGCTGGTGAAAATAGTACTAGATGCATTGAAGATCGAAGAGGAACAAGTGCGACTTTGGACAGACTCGATGATAACATTAAATTGGATACACTCGTCACCACACAGATTTGGAACCTTTGTAGCAAATAGAATCGCTGAGATTCAAACCTTGACCTCAACGACCTCATGGGGACACGTAATTTCAGAAGAAAATCCCGCTGATTATGTGTCTCGTGGACAACTGCCTCGAGATTTCGTCACCAATGAATCATGGATGTTTGGTCCAAGTTGGCTTCGGGAATCAGAGGATCATTGGCCTGTTTTTCGAAGTACCATTGTGGAGTTGCCGGAACAAAAAAAGACTGTAACATTGACTGGATCTCTTAAGGAAAAATTCAATCTTTGGAATCGTTTTTCTTCTCTAAAAAAGTTAATTCATGTCGTAGCTTATTGTTTGCGTTTTAGATCAAGGATGCGTGGTCCAGCTGAATTTCCGGAATTGTTGACAACAAGCGAGATTCAAGCAGCATTCACGAGACTTCTTTTCCTAGCTCAAAGAGAAGAATTTTCTGATGAAGTTCAATCACTAAAAAAAGGAACAAACTTATCGAGCCGATCAAAATTGCTGAAACTCAACCCGATTATGGAAGATAATTTATTGAAGGTAGGAGGAAGAATAAAAAACGCTGAAATATCATCTAAACAGCAGCATCCGATTTTGTTGCCGAAAAATCATCCGTTGACTGATTTAATTACCCGTGATACTCACGAGAAGAACCTGCATCCAGGCATCAGTGGAACTCTCTACGCGTTGAGAATGTCGTTTTGGCCTATTGACGGTAGATTGACTGTAAAAAAAATTATTAATAAATGTATAAAATGTTTTAGAATAAAACCAAAGGAATCTTCGTATGTTATGGGTGACTTGCCGAGTGTGCGTGTAACAGCTTCAAGGCCGTTTGAAAATGTTGGAGTTGATTACTGCGGCCCCTTTTTTGTAAAAGAAAAGCGTTTTCGAAACAGAAATAAAATAAAAGTATACGCAGCAGTATTCGTGTGCCTTAGTACGAAGGCAGTTCACATAGAGTTGGTGGGGGATTTGTCTACAGAATTGTTTTTGGCTTTTTTGCGTCGATTCTTCGCACGTCGAGGTAAAAGTAAAAGATTATATTCTGATAACGGAACGAACTTTGTGGGCGCAAAGAATGAATTGAATGAAATTTATAATTTGTTAAATTCGAGCGAACACAATCGAGTTATTAGTCACGCAATGAATGATCAAAATATCGAATGGCATTTCTCCCCTCCAAGGACTCCACATTTCGGTGAGATTTGGGAGGCAGCGGTGAAGTCTCTTAAGCACCACTTGCGACGAACTATTGGTGAGACACTTCTTACATACGAGGAATTAAATTCTTATTTATGTGAAATTGAAAGTATTTTAAATTCAAGGCCACTGACACCAATGTCAATGGATCCAAATGATTTACGCGTTTTAACACCGGGATTCATTGGAGACCCCCGAGTAACAAGTTTCCGGCAAATATGATGAATTTTTAATTTATTGTCCGCCATATTGGATCCACCATTTTGAATTTTTGAAAACTGACATCATATTCGTAATCAGCGACCCCGAAAACCCCCGAGTAACAAGTTTCAGGCAAATATGATGAATTTTTAATTTATTGGCCGCCATATTGGATCCGCCATTTTGAATTTTTGAAAACTGACATCAGATTCGTAATCAGCGACCTCGAAAACCCCTGAGTAATAAATTTTAGGCGAATTCGGTAGATTTTTAAATTGTTTTGTTTTTTGGGGGTAGTTTTCATTAATTTTGTTTTTACCCCGAGGAAAATTTTTGTTATTAATTTTTTTTACAAAGATTACAATATTTTTAAACATTTGTTACTGCGTAAGCCGAAAAAAAATTTTTTTTCTTAAATTTATACCTTTTTTACAATTTTTGTCATTTTTCGCGTTTTTTAAAGGGGTGTATTTCAGAAAGGGTAGTTTTTTGGAAAATGAGAAGCATATGTATTAATTACTTTCGTTCACCCCTTCAAAATGAGACCTTAGCGGATTTGATCCGTTAAGTTTTAGGAAAGTTATGATTTTTTGAAGTAGGTGGTACGTATGTGTACCACTGGCCATTAAAGAGTTAAAAAGCACAATTCAAATATGTACTGAAAATAATTTATTTGCAATTATGATTTGATATTGTGATTGATATTTAAAAAAGATTTCTCAGTTTAGTATTATTATAGCAAAAATTAGTTAATTTTTAAGTATTATTTTTATTTCTTAAGAAGTTACTTTACTTAATGCAATTTTCATGATTTATGGTAATTTACAGTACCTGAAATTAATAACTGTGTATTTGTGATATTAAAATTTAAGAATACGATAAATGTGATTGTTAAAAAAAGATTAAAGATTCTACATATTAAAGTCTCATAATATTTAAGACTACGAAAACAAAAATTATTAGAAACGTTATGTATTTCTTAAAAAAATTAATTTTTTAAATTATAGTTATTTACAGTACCTGAAATTAATAACTGTGTATTTGTGATATTAAAATTTAAGAATACGATAAATGTTATTGTTAAAAGAAGATTAATGATTCTACATATTAAAGTCTCATAATATTTAAGACTACGAAAACAAAAATTATTAGAAACATTATGTATTTCTTAAAAGAATTTATTTTTAAAAAGCGAAATGTTGAATAAATTCAGAACTCTAATATGATTTTTCTTTTTTTTGTAACTAAATAATTTTTATTATTTCAAAAATGTTTTAATAACTATTACACTCTAAAAAAAGTAAGCATGAATATTTCTTAATTTATATTTTTTAAATTTACATTTACAATACTTATCATATTTAATTTATATAAATAAATTATGTTTTCACCTTTTTATATTAAGGTAATTTTAAATATCCCGCGCAAACATAACCTTCTTTAACCATATATGTTACAAATTATTCTTGTGAATTTTAGCTTAAATCGGATTACTGTCTAAAATTCGATGAAAAATTCTAATTTGAAATTTACAAAAAAATTTTTAATTTGCAGAAATTTTGAAGAAATTTTGGTTTAAAAATCTGAAGATTTTTAAAGATAAATTTTGGAAGTCTAAAGATTCTTATTCTCTGCCATCTGGCAACACTGTTCTCACGTTCAGTCAGTAATTCAACAATAATTTCTTTAATAGTTATTATTAATATTATTTTTGTCATATAAATAATATATATTATTAATAATAAATATCATTTGAAATAATAATATTAAAAAATAATTTTAGTAAAAAAGACAATTTTGCGTTAATTCGAATATTCTTTTAAATTATTTTTATAACAGACCATTTTATATTATTTACGAACATGTTTACAGCTTTTATTCACAACACACACTTATACAGATTAAGTAGTAATTATATTATTCTATATAACGCTTAGAATGAAAAATATTCGCTAGCATGTGGGATCGAACTCACGTCCCCTTCTGCCCCTGATGCATACCGGTAGCCTTTAACGCACCTATTTAAACCTCACGACCACTGAGTCTCGATGAGAACTCGGGCTAATCTACTATATATCAATGCCAGTGCCGTATATTCTGTTACTTATAAGGACAAAGTGAAAACTATTTTAATAGTTGTACACACAATAATCCCGAATTACAATGATTATTAAAAATTAATATTCACTTTTAAATAAATAATTCATAATGTATTATAAGCATTAGGGTGTTGTGGGGTAATGTGCAACACCACCGATTTCTGATCTACAGTTCGATATTAAACAGAGCCAAGTATTACCATTTGTTTGTGTCCTCAGTAACTTGTTTTTAATATATAACTCACAAGACAGCTCGCAGCCAGGTTTGCTGTACAGTAGGTTTCAATTATGCCTTCTTAGTTTAAACGTGTCGCACTTATATGTTCTTGAGGGCCTTAGCTTGCCAACATCCTCCCTTCCGAATAGGGCTGTCGTCCTATTCTTACTGATCGTTTGGGACCAGGACGACTAACTTTGCCGCTGACCGTTTGAAGGTTTTGTTTCTAATCCGTACGTCCGCTACTCTGATTCGTGCATCCTTTCCTGGATAGGTTTTCGTTATTATTCCCCTCGGCCATGTGTTACGAGGAAGAGTTGAATCAGCAACAAGTACCACGTCTCCTTCCAATAGAGGTCTTGTTTCCTGTGTCCAGCATTTTCTTACGACTAGTGTTGGGAGGTATTCCTTCACCCACCTTGACCAAAACATATCGGCTAAACGTTGTGATTGTCTCCAGCCTTTACGCGAACACAAGTCTCCGTCTGTGAATTGGCCTGGTGAAGATACTCCCGATGACGATCCGATGAGGAAGTGATTTGGCGTTAGTGCTTCTGCATCCCTATGATCCACTGACACTTGGGTAAGTGGTCGGCTATTGATCACGTGTTCCGCTTCTACAAGAAGCGTCATTAACACTTCCTCTCGAGGTGCTCTCTCCTTTAGTGTTGCCGCCAGTGCCGTTTTGATACTCCTTACAAGCCTTTCCCAGCTCCCTCCCATATGGGGCGTGGAGGGCGGTATGAATCGCCATTTTATACCCCGATTTAGCATCTCATATGCCACATGGTCATAATCAATCTCAAGAAGTGCATCTCGCAGTTCTGTGTTCATTCCAACTAGGTTGGTACCGTTATCCGCGTGTATCTTTACCGGTTTGCCGCGACGTCCCATCATTCTCCTCAAGCTCATGATAGCAGAACTCGAATTTAACGATGATGCTAGTTCAATGTGGATAGCTCGTGTAGTCAGACACATGACTAGAACTCCCCACCTTTTCTCTCTACGTCTTCCAACGGTTACCATCATGGGACCGAAATAGTCGATTCCGCAGAATGTGAACGGTCTTTGATGATAACCCAATCTCGCTGGAGGTAGATCGCCCATTTGTGGAATCGAAGGTGTCGCACGCTGAACTTGACATTATTGGCACTGTGCCGACACTGATGTAACTGTTGGTCTCAATTTCACAATCCAATACTTCTGTTTGACCTCGTTGATGACCGTCTCGGGGGATCCGTGTCCTACTCTCTATTCCTATTATCTTTATTAGTTTGAATTTGGTGTTAGGATGTGTTTCTGTTGCCGTTTTGGTTTTGTTTGGTTCTTGTTTTTCACTATTTAGCAGTTTAGTTTATAGTTTTTGTAAAGTTATTGTCTAGTTTACGATAAGAAACTGACACGTTCTCTGACAGTTCGGAAAACAATGGTTTTTCGTCTGGGCTGTATCTAATCTGTGTCTCTGACAGTTGATAAAAAAAGGTTTATCAACTGGGCTGTAATGTTTTGAAAATCTGACAACTGAATAAAATATTCAGTTGTGCTGAAATATAATGCCTGAAAATCAGGATAAAAATCAGACTGATTTGGCTGTATCCTCTTTGAGTGATAAACGCCGGAGATTCTCTAATGGATCAAAAGGAAAGAAAACGCGGACGCTCAAAGAAAAACCAGCATAAAGAAATGGTCGAATCTGCTCGAAAGGATCCGCCTGACGTGCACATGTCCTTGGATAAACACGTAAGAGACTATTTACCTGTAGCAGGACCACGTGAATTGGTGATCCCTGGAGGATTAGGACCACCCACAACTGGCGCTGTGCGACAAGAAGATTCCATAAGAATTCAGCTGAGACCTGCAAGATCGGTGTCCGGCCGGCCTGAACCAGAGAACAACTCTGAACGTCAGGACCAGGAAGATCTCAGAGCACACCACCGAGAAACCGAGGGATCTCGAAGAACGGGGGTATGGTGAGTCAATTCCTTCTTCTAATTCTATAAGATCATTTGTGTCGAGAAAGAGACGTTTGACTTTAGAAGCAGCCGAACAAAAAGCTCATGTTAAACGTGTGATGCTAGCCAAAAGAGAGAAAATAGAGCTCGATCTAATTAACGATCGATTAGAAGCTACACGCCAACTCCGTGATAGCTCAGTTAAAGACCTCTTCCTCCTATAATAACTTGGGAGGTATATCGAAATCAAGTATCTGTCGTTGGGAGAGAGATGTATGGAATAACCGCCCTCACTACTATCCCCCGCCTTCTCCTGTCGGAACTAAATTAAGTAGTGTTAAATCAAAAGAGGGTGAGGGTGACATCTCGGGAAATGTCTCTGCCGAAGAACTGAAAAACGCTCTAGTCTCGGCCGTCAGGGAATTAAAAGAACCTTATCCTGGGTATAACCCTCAACACATTATTAGTAGATTAGCGTATACGCGTTCTCAGGAGATTGCCTGGAGTGGCTTCGATTTAAAAGAGCCTTTCAGACATCTACTGTACTCGGGGGTTACTCGGATGCAGAAAATATAGCCCGACTATATGAAGCTCTAAATGGGGAGGCAAAGGAATCAGTGGATTCCTTGATGGTTACAGCCTGTTCTGCGGAAACAATAATAAAAACTCTCGAACTACGCTTCGGTAATGCGGATAAAATTACTGATAGGATCGTCACAGAAATCAAAGCGCTCCCGCGAATGTATACAGCTAAAACGGATATCGTTAGTTTTGCCACTAAAGTACGAAACAGTGTATCGGCTATACAGTGTTTAGATCAAACCGGGCATCTCTACAACCCTGATTTGCTTAAAGAAATAATATCAAAAATGCCACCAGCACTGATTTACGAATATAACAGATTTGTAAATATCAATCCGAGTAATGAGCCAAGGTTAGTTAAGCTTTCAGAATTTTTGTATAGAGAAGCAGAAATGGCGTGTGTAGCAGGGTCCTCGGGAAGTGCAGGAAAAACAACAAAAAATGTACTAACGGCAGTAAAAATCTCCGATTCTAGACCGACACATACGAAGTCGAATACTACAGGTAAAAGTCCCGTTGACGACTGTTTAATGAGCGTAGACACGAAAGAAAAAGCAATACAAACGATAAAAGAAATTACGGAAATTAATCATGCCGGTGGTTTTGAGATGCACGCCTGGACATCAAACGAACGCGATATACTAAATTCACATATAAATCAATCGAACGATTTGCATTTAATTCAATTCAAAAATGAGAACATAGGGCAGGAAAAAGCCCTCGGTTTATACTTGGACACTCTCTGACTCGTTTAGGTTTAAAATTGATTTAAGTAAAATCCCTAAAGAAACCCTAAGTGGAGACAAGAAACCAACAAAGCGAGAATTCCTACGAACAATCATGTCTGTTTTTGACCCCCTGGGTTTCTTGGCTCCATTCCTGATCCGCTCCAAAATCTTGATGCAAGAAGTCTGGGTAAGCGGAATCGGATGGGACTGTCAGTTAAGAGATGACGAATACGTTACGTGGAAAGGGTAAGTCAAAGATTTGTCTGACATTAAAATCTGTAGGATTCCTAGATGTTACACACAGTCCGAACTAGAAGTATCAGATTCCCAACTACATATATTCTGTGACGCGAGCCCAAAGGCTTTCTCAGCGGTAGCTTACTTGAGGTTGAAATTCGTCGACGGCTCAATTAAGGTAACACTAATCGGTAGTAAAAGTCGAGTAGCTCCATTAAAGACACTTTCTGTCCCACGCCTCGAACTGCAAGGAGCCCTATTAGCTTCTCGGTTAGGAAAGTTGATAGCAAATGAGCAAAAAATAAAGGTAAACGAGCGTTACTTGTGGTCTGATTCGCGTATTGTACTACTTTGGGTTAAAACAGATCCTAGGGACTACCAGACATTCGTTTCCCACCGATTGGCTGAAATATTAGATTTGTCTGATCCTACGGAATGGTGCTGGGTTCCTTCAGAATGTAATCCCGCAGACCACGCAACGAAACCGAAGATCGGTTCCCTTTACAAAAACCACCGATGGTTTAATGGCCCAGAATTTTTAGGTAGGGAAAAGGATCATTGGCCGAGTCAGGACTGTCTGAAAACAAATAATCACCCGACAGATCTGCCAACGGAACTAAAAAAGGTACATTCCGTGTTGGTTACCAAATTAGCTAAACCAAACCTACCTGACCCAAAACGCTTCTCAAAATTTAATAGATTACTGCGAAGTACGGCGTGGATTTTAGTAGCAATTAATAAAATGAGATATAGGGTCGAACCAAAGATGACGGCTGAGTATCTTCGAAAGGCAATGATATTTCTATTAGGTGAAATTCAAAATGACTGTTACAAGTCAAAAATTCTAGCTCTGTCTCGTCAAGAATCCGTAGATAATAGAAGTAAAATTAGGTCTTTAACTCCGTCAATCGGAAAAGACGGTCTCTTGAGAGTTCGCGGTCGTGTTAACGTCCCTAGAAAACTAGACTTCGAAGGACAACCTATTGTAATTGATGGAGCACACCAGATTACACGGTTAATATTACAAGAATATCACGAGAAAGCTAATCATGGGAGTGATAATACAGTCCTCAACGAAATCAGACAGAAATTTTGGGTTGTAAACGCCAGAAAATCATTACGTTCTATATCGGCAAAGTGTTAGTTCTGTATACTGACTAGAAAAAAACCAGTAGTGCCAATGATGGAGGATTTACCTAAAGGTAGGGTAGCTTATCGACAACGTCCTTTTACGCACTGCGGAGTAGATTACTTCGGTCCGATGATTGTTAAGATAGGCCGTAGGGGAGAGAAACGCTGGGGAGCCCTTTTCACTTGCCTGACGACAAGGGCCATACATATAGAGCTACCACATATCGCGAATAAAGACTCTGCGATAATGGCTCTGCGACGTCTTATTGCCCGAAGAGGGCAACCAAAGGTCATGTACTCTGATAACGGGAGAAACTTTATCGGGATGAACAACGAACTATTAAGCGCTCAGAAAGAGTTAGATTTTCGGGCACAAGAAGAGTTTATGGTAAATCTAGAAATAAAATGGGTTTTCATACCTCCAGATGCCCCACACATGGGGGGCGTGTGGGAAAGCCTAATTAGATCAGTAAAAACTGCTCTAAAAGTGACCTTGCGAGACCAAGTTCCAAAAGAAGAAGTATTAATAACATTACTTGCAGAGGCCGAACACATGGTTAATTCGCGTCCACTCACGCATGTGTCAATAGATCCTAGGGATCAAGAAGCTTTGACACCAAACCATTTTTTACTGGGATCCTCAACAGGTGACTTTACATTCAGTCGTTTTGACGCTCTTCAGGATTGCACGCATAAACAATGGCGGATTGCACAAGCATTTTCCAACTCGTTTTGGATAAGATGGCTGAGAGAATATCTCTTAACCCTACTTCCGCATAAAAAGTGGACCAATGAAACCGAAAATTTGAGTGTAGGAGACGTAGTAATAATAGCGGATCACAACTCTCCTAGAAATACATGGAAGAAAGGGGTGATTTCAGAAGTTCTTCCAGGGAAGGACAAGCGTATTAAAGTAGTAAAAGTACAATTGGCGAAAACGTCTCTAATACGACCAGTAAGTAAGCTAATAAAGCTTACCAAAAATCAGTAGGTACAAAGTCTACGACTTCGTACGGAGAAAGGTTATTCTCGATGGAGATAAAAATTTAGTTTTAATCTTCTACTTTATTAGTTTGAATTTGGTGTTGGGATGTGTTTCTGTTACCGTTTGGTTTTGTTTAGTTCTTGGTTTTCACTATTTAAAAGTTTAGTTTATAGTTTTTGTGAAGTTGTTGTCTAGTTTACGATAAGAAACTGACACGTTCTCTGACAGTTCGGAAAACAATGGTTTTTCGTCTAGGCTGAATCTAATCTGTGTCTCTGACAGTTGATAAAAAAAGGTTTATCAACTGGGCTGTAATGTTTTGAAAATCTGACAACTGAATAAAATATTCAGTTGTGCTGAAATATAATGCCTGAAAATCAGGATGAAAATCAGACTGATTTGGCTGTATCCTCTCTTTTTATCCTGTTCCGTTTCCAACAAAAAGATAAAGAATTTTATTGATAAAATGTTCCCACTTGTTATTACCTACAGCTCACTTTGAGTGATAAACGCCGGAGCCCTGCTGAGAGGGTCGAGGCTTCAGACTCAACGTCGGCGACTAACAATAAGGCGCCAGACTTAACGGCGGGGACTAACAATAGAAGCAAGAGGAGAGGGAAAACACACCTGGGATCGAGGAAGGAAAAATAAGATAATTTGGCAATATTGACGAAGAATTTGATTAGTGCGGGTGTCTTCACGTCTAATAATAATAATCATTTAATATATGTTCTTTTACTGTTAATGTTAACAAAAATATCTAATTTTCTTTAGTTATTTGTGATGCTTTATATAAAAATAAAATAAAATTTGTAAAATTAAAAATATTAGAAAATTTTCTTGAACCCAGAACAACCCTTAATATCCCATCATCGTCGAGCATCGGAGTTAGTCGATGGATCTTGCTATTCTTCGGTATTTGGTTTCCATCCTTTATTGCCTTTATTTCTTTAGCAAAATCTTCGTTTTGGAGTCTTATGATCCACAGTCTTTCGGCTTCCTCGAGTAGCATCGGCGTAGTGCCATCGCCAATCTCCTTCTTTCCCTTGCATCGATTAACCGATAATAATATTAGGGCGGTTGTGCGGATCAGACACATAAACTTCGATATCCTGGTTATATCTGGTAGGACCGTTGTTGCCTTTGTAACGGTCAATACAACGAAACTTTTCTTGAATTCCTTTCTCGGTAGTCTCTCGGTACCTACAATCGGCTGGATTGGCCACTGGTGTTCGTCCCTTCGCAAGAATTCCGGTCCGTGTAGCCATCTATCCATCAGGCACTTGACGTTCCCGCTGTTCCGAGTAGCGTTGTCTGCCGGATTTTGATTGGATGGAACCCACATCCATTCTTCCCGATCGGATAATTTATCAATTTCGCCTAAACGATTGGAGAATCGAATGTCTGATATTTTCGCGGATCAGTCCTGATCCATAAAAGTACTGTTCGTGAATCAGTCCACATGACTGTTCGTTTAATATTGATCTCGTGCTCTTGAATGATCGTTTTCCGCAGCCTGCACGCTATGAGTGCTCCTTGGAGCTCCATTCACGGTATTGACATAGGCTTCAGGGGAGCGATTCTTGCTTTTCCCGCTACGAATGATACTTGAATATTCCCATCGTTTCTGATCCCTCGAAAATAAGCCACTGCTGAGAATGCCCTTTCGCTAGCATCGCAATAGAAATGGAGTTCTATAGTTTCGGGCAGTTGACTTTTGGGGAAATGAGCTCGTGGAATTGTGTATTGTTCCACTTCTTTCAGATCTTTCGTGCATTCGATCCATCCCTTTTTTTCGCTGCCTACTAATTTTTCGTCCCATTTTACGCGGCTTCGACAGACTTCTTGCATTAAGATCCTGCTTCTTACTGTGAGTGGTAGTAGTATTCCTAGCGGATCGTAGATGCTCATGATGATTCTTAGCATTTCCCTTCATGGTTCATTGTTCCGTTAATTGTGTCTTCGGATATCCTCTTAAAGTTTTTGTTGAATGATATCTCGTTCACCGATTATTTTCATCGAATTCCTAATGTCCTTTCTGTGTTGTCCTTGTCTACAGTGAGATTAATGGGTTTTCGGCATTTCGATTCTACTGGTAATCGTTGTAGTAATTCCGGACTGTTACTGCTCCAACCTCTTATTTCGAATCCCCCGCGTTTGTGTATAGTCATCACCTCCTTTATTCTCTGTTCTCCTTCTTCTCTGGTGTCAACACTGTCGAGATAATCATCGACGTAGTGTTTCTTGTCGATGGCCTTGACGGCATCAGGGTATTGAGTTTTAAACTCTGTCGCATTTTTGTTCATGACGTAATTGGCCGAGCAGGGAGAACTCGTAGATCGGAAGATCATTGATGACATCACGTATGTTTCCGGTTCCTTTTATCTGTCCATTCCTCGCCACAGGAATTGCTGGGCCCACTAATCTTGGTCTCGAATTTTTACTTGCAGAAACATTTCTCGTATATCTCCTTTAAAGGCAATCGCTCTTTGTCTGAAGCGAAAGAGTACACCCAATAACGAGCTCACCATGTCTCGTCCTAAAAGCAAATTAGCATTTAGTAATGTTCCCCGATATTCTCCCAGTCAAAAAAGTTCTATAGAGTGATTCTATAGAATGACTCTATAGAGCATTCTATAGAGGATTCTATAGAGAATTCTATAGAATATTCTATAGAATTGCTATAGAATTTCTATAGAGCATTCTATAGAATATTCTATAGAATTTTCTGTAGAATTTAAGTAGAAATTAGAATTTCTGCACGAATTCTATAAAATATTTCAGAAAAATTGCATATATATAGAATTTTACAGTAATTTTATTGGAAAATTTAAAGCATTTTAATTTTTAACTGGACAGAAAAGTTTATGTATGATATTTAAGCGTTGTTTCAAAAATTTTCTAAAGTAAGGTGGTAAAATTACATTCGCGCTCTTCAAAAGAATTCTAATAGTGACCAGATTATTATAACAATAAACGAGTATTGCTGTTATCTTCGAGTGTAAAATTTTTTTCTTTACAACAAATTTTAATTCTTTATCTCTTCTGTAAATATTTATAAATATCTTATTTAAACCTTTTCTTACTTGAAGAATTTTTTTACTGTTTACATTTTTACTTAAAATTTTAATTATACTTTATCAGATTTTTTTATTATAAGTTCGCTAATAGAAAAAAAATTTTTAAAAAACATCTTCTAAATAGAAATTTTATTTATTGGAAAACTCGTAATTTAATGAGGAATACAAATTTTTAATCATTGCAATGGGCAATTAATGATTTTAATCCGTTTACGAACAGCTTCAATAAATATTAAGTAATTTTAAAACAACATGTAAATATTATTTTGTAGTAAACTCTGAAAGTTAAATCCCAAGAAATTTAATAAAATATTTTGTTTTCGATATTTACAGTTTACAAAAAAAGGAAATGATATTTTAAAGAGCTGTTAAAAGTAAATAAAATGGAAATGTTTAAATGATTTTACGCAATAAAACATTCACTGCTCTTGAATTAAGTCCAGGTTTTCCTGATTTTCCTTTTCCTTGCAACGAACATTTCATAAGTGCTTCTGGAGTAAAAATTAAGCTTAACAGAGATCTAGCGTACCCGGTAGGATTATTTGATTCCTTTTTCAATTTTTGGTATAAATCTTCTTCAACGAAAATGTTGCAATCGGAAAACAATTCACAAGTTTGGAAATATTATTATATTTAATCTTAATTTTTTCGATTTATTACTTTTTGAAAATGTAAAATAAAAAAATTTAATTAAATATTAAAACAAATTTGAAAACAATATAAATCTAAATTTTTGATTTGTTCATTATGAATATTGGATCTTACAAAGCCAGAAATATTTGTGGAATACATAAGTGTTGAACTATCTTCATGACCGTCATTATTACTTTTGTCACCACCAATATCTGAATCGTTTCCATCATTTTCCACTTCAACATTGTTCATTTTATCAAGCTGTGTTTTTTCTTCTTCCCTATCATCCCCTTTTGGATAATAATTATTAGCATT